ATGTCGTGGCAGATATCTAAGTAAGCTTTCTTAACGCTAATGTTATAATAGTCAGATTGCTCTGAAGATGGGAGGGGATATTCTATTAATTTTCACGTTCACACAGTCAGTTGATTTTTGCCGGCCGTCTTTCCTGCAACGGCAGTTTTTCTGTATTTCCTTTATCCTGTAATATGACTTGATAGCTTTAAACTCTGCACACGGAGCTCTGATTGGTCAGCAGGCGGTGCTTTCACTGAGTTGATTTCTTATCCTAACCTGCTCCAGAGCAGGTTAGCCGTTCAGCATAAGTTACCATGGAGATCTAGCCCAGTCAGAAGAGAACCAGCGTCGTAAGACCGGAAACCCAGAGTTTATCCTGAAGTTAGCTCGCTATGCGAAAATCCGGCTTCGTAGTACAGGCCTCAGGCCCTTCATCAATAGATACATCTTACACTCCAGCATGTGCACTTCGCTCTGCGTTGGCCAATCGGCTCACTACTCTCTCAGCTAAAACACACCTGTTTGCTATCCTGGCTCCAAAATGGTGGAACGAGCTCCCCATTGATATCAGGACAGCAGGAAATCTACACATCTACTGTCGCAGAGTGAAAACTCGCCCGCCCCTTGGATATTAAACCTAACACAAAACAAAACAACATTCCTCCTTCAACGGTTTAGCCCATTTGAAACAAATGGATCAGCACTTTGGTTGGCTAATTTGAATCCTCTATATCTGGATGTATCTTGTTGTTCTGTGTTTGTACCTTTATGGTTAATTGCACTGTAAGTAGGGATGCCAGAAACTGACCATGATCAAAATCGAAAATCGGACAGCCCTGGCGAATATTAATCGATTATTCGACAACCCCCCCCCCCGCGGGAAAAAAAAAAAAAAAGTATTTTCGCAGAGCTTGCATTTGACTTCACTTGCACTTGTCAGTTCGAAGTAGTTCCACGAGGATATCTTCTGTGGACGTGCCGCTCTGTTCATCTTTAGTTGTGTTCTCACTGTTCTGTCGCCAATAAATCAATCGCACGTGTGACGGAGAGGGGGGGGGGGGGGGGGGGGGGGGGGCGGTGTGTAGCAGGCTGCAGCAGCAGTCTGCACTCTGCACTACTGGCTTCCTCCAAGTTTACAGTAAAACAAACTGGTGGTGTGATCAATGGTCATTTACAATTATTAATACTATTACTATTATTAGCATTAGTCTATATTTTGGTTGAAACTAAGCCAGGAAAAAAAAAAAAAACATAAATATTAATAAAAAAATATATAAATAAAATCGAATTTTAAAAATAATCTTCGATTATGGAGACTGTAACGAATATTCGAATAATCGAATAATCGCTGGCATCCCTAACTGTAAGCAGATTTAGATCAGGTAAATGTCATTTTGACCAGAAGAAAGCGCTAGAAGAAAGGTCATCAAAGTTATGACAACTTATCTTGAGGGCATGATTGAGTATTGCCCAATGATGTTGAGATTTCTTTATTTGAACTGTCCATCTGCTGACTTTGATGAAAAGTCAGATGATCCGGTCATTTAGATCATCTTCTCGGCTCCATGAGTGGTTTCCATGGCAATCTAACCTATAAACTCTGACCGATTTTCAGTTGTAGATTAACCGACATTTTTTATTTATTTATTGTTTTACTTTTTATTTATTTGCTTTTTTCATTGAACAGATGCACTTTTTCCGAATAAAAACTCATATTGTTACATACAGCATAGATTAATCATCACAAAGGAAACAAGAAAAACAAAGATAAAAGTGAAATACAAAATGAAAAAGAGAAAGAAAGACAATATATTTCGCAGGTGAACTGAGCGACATAACCACCCTTGGAGTCGTACTAGCGTTGAAGAAGATGTAGTAGTACAGTGTAGTGCTGGAGAGAGCTAGCTTATTACCCATGGACATTTCACAGTTTTAACATTTGCTCTCTCCAGTAGTGACTGTTAAAGGGGTTCATATGTGTGTATGAAAGAGGACGAGAGGCCGTGTTTTGTTGCTATGTGGCTGTGTGGTTTTTCTGTTTATTTCCAGCTGTGCATTGATATATATCAGCAGCTAGTTGCGGCGCTAACGCGGTGGTTTATCTGCCCCTCAGGCTGCATGTTATTTATGAACACACAAGCATGAATAATGTCATTTCACATCTATATTTGGATTATCTGGAGCCACTGGCTGAATAAGAAGCTTGGCTACAGATTGTCTAACAATGCAGATATGGATGAAATAAATTGCTGTGTTACACTGTGGCATGGAAGCAGAAAATGGTGTAATGGTGGTGTAGTAACCTCGAGCATCATCCAAAGGTGATCCAACGAGGCTCATGTCATCTTTCCTTTTACAAAAACCCAAGGTCTTCTCACCATTCCACAGCTGCCAACATTCATCCGTAGAAAATGAGTTTGATCAGTTCTCATGACACAGTAAGCCATGTGTCTTTTCAAAGATGGATCTTGATGCACAATGGACCTTGAGTACACAAGAAACATACAAATACACATATAAAGAGGATTAAGGCAAAATAGAATAAGACAGAATCAAAACTACAGTACAGTGCAGCATACGAATAATTCCTCCCACATTGAATTTAATAAAAGGCACATGTTCTCGGTCCTGATTCAAAAGAACTGAGAATTGAAGCAGACCTCAAGTTTTCTGTGAATTTGGGCATGTAACGGTTCAATCATTTCTAGATTATTATTTTTCAAGAGTGCATTAAGTACTGCAGTTAACAGAGTCAAGTAACTAAAGAAATGAACTGATGAGATCAGAACTTGATAATCACTGGTTTGGTGCTTTGGATTACCTCCGCCTCATGCCTCCCTTTGTGAAAAGTTGAAGCCACCGACAATCAGATACTGTTTGGGCAGTTCAAAGATTGACTTCTTCTTTTTTATGTTAAGTTAAAGCAGGAGAGTGTCAAATAAGAGCAGCAGAGAGCAGGCAGAGCGTCAGTGTGCCAGGCAGAGGAGGAGCGGGATGCAGAGATCTGGGAAAGTCTTTTAACACACCCCCTGATATTTGTAAGTTTCAAACTTGTAGTCTTCAGCCCACGCAGCTCTCTGGAGACAGAAGGCTTACACAACTTTCTTCCTCTATGCACCATCACTCTCCAACACCTGGAAACACACTTTGATGTATGGAGTCAGTGGAGTTACCCTTCATCCATTACACTTTAGCTTAAAATGCATAAAGTGTAGTTTTAATCTCTTGAAAACATTGTCAGGTGTTAGTCACAATAATTGAACGTAAAGCTAAACTTAAGTCTTCCAACCGAAACCAATACACAGATTATTGCCATCTGGAAGTGACCTATAAGCGTTTTCTGATCTTCAAACCAGAGCATACATTTTTACGACTGCTTGCGTAACGATTGACATGATTAACATGACTGTTACCAAAGTGACTTCTGGAAGCACTTTCAACTCTTAGGTTAAGGCTAAACCCAAACGTTTTCAGTCAGGCCCCACTTGGGTAATTGGAAATATTTTCGAGCCCCCCCAACCCGGTTCCCACCTAGATTGGTGTATAAATATTCACCCAAAAAGGGGCGGGGCCATGACATTGAGGGAAAGTACCCTCATAGGTTGCTCTCATATATGAGACAGCATATGAACTGCTGTCTTCAATGTTAAAGTGTGGTACTTTATAGGTTGAACAACTGTCCTCAACTTAAACAAATCTTAGCTAACTTGACACACGTATCAATTAGTTGAATCAATTTACTATTTATACAATTGTTTTCCCCACAAAGAATCTGCAAAAGCACCAGTTTAAATGTTGTGTTTACCACAGATGTACTCAGAAGTTTCTTAAAGAAAATGATTCAGCATGTTAAAAAGCAGCACCTCGAGAGATCTGAGAGGGGGCAGCCCTAGTCACAGTGTTTACTTACACTAACCACACTAAAATGAACGTTCTGGAACTGTATTTCAAATACTTTTTAAATATGTATTTCCAACAACACTCACTGTGGTATCCCATGTTATACAGCACTCTACAGTTGGATGAACCTGTCTCCCACTTCTCTTAACCTTTCATTCAAATAAATCAACACAGTCTCACTCTGCAGTATTTGTGCATTTTATAAATAATCACACAATCAGCATTTAATTGTATATGAATATTTTTGACATGGGTTCATGATCAATACATATATTTCTCTTCAAATAATGTTTTTGAACTAAGGAACAGGCTGTGTTAAAATGTTTAGATTTTCCAGAACATCACCTTGTTACAATGGAAACTAGGAAATACAAATGACAGTGTGGCTGGAGTCAGATCCAATCGAGTGGTGCAGCAATGAGTCCTAAAACCTGAAATCAGTAAGCATTTAAGTACTTATTATTTAGAAGCTTGAAATAAGGTCTGTGGTTAACACAAGCTGAAGAGATCTTCATGTTTTGTTCTACGAGATAAATACGTCAGTAAATACCCAACTGGTGTATGTCCAAAAAAAGAAAAACAGGGGTTGCTAACACATGACTAAATGAGACTGCTAAACATCATCGGGAAAACATTGGCGTCCTTTAGCTTAGCGGTGGTGACATGAAGCCAAATGACCGTGGTAGCCCAACGTGAGCTAATTACTTCTGGCAAGGAACTTACACTTACAAGTATTATAGAAGCGGTGTTAATATGTGTAGTTACAATGTGTTTGCCACAGATTTGTTTTCTGCATTGTCAATGGAAGAATCCTATTGCTTTTTGTTTAGGGAGCCTTTGCATGCTAACCTCATCACCTACAAAGATATGTCATCACTGCACCATTCTATTATTCTGTTTACAACTTAAAGAAAGTATGTTACAGTACAGTTGCAGTTACATGGCTTCTGTAAAATAATACTTGACCTTATTTACTCCTGTGGATTTAGAAAACAGGATGTGGAGCTCATAGGAGGAGCTCTGCCTTGGATGTTCAGCTGGGTGCAGAGTTTGTAAATGATAGCATTGTGAAATAATCTACTTTCCTCAACTTCTCTCCTCTTTCTCTTTCTTTGTAGTTTCATCTTGCATCACCACCTATAAGAAGACCCCTCCACCAGTGCCCCCCCGAACGTCCACCTGCTCCACAGCCTCCAAGCCGTACATCTCCATCACGGCCCAGAGCAGCACAGAGTCTGCCCAGGTACTGCTCACACCCACAGGCCTCTGGAGCTCATGGGTCAGGGTATACTGAGCACCCATAGCCCTCTGTGGAGCTCATGGTCAGGGTATACTGAGCACCCATAGCCCTCTGTGGAGCTCATGGTCAGGGTATACTGAGCACCCATAGCCCTCTATGGAGCTCATGGTCAGGGTATACTGAGCAGCCATAGCCCTCTGTGGAGCTCATGGTCAGGGTATACTGAGCACCCATAGCCCTCTATGGAGCTCATGGTCAGGGTATACTGAGCAGCCATAGCCCTCTGTGGAGCTCATGGTCAGGGTATACTGAGCACCCATAGCCCTCTATGGAGCTCATGGTCAGGGTATACTGAGCAGCCATAGCCCTCTATGGAGCTCATGGTCAGGGTATACTGAGCACCCATAGCCCTCTATGGAGCTCATGGTCAGGGTATACTGAGCAGCCATAGCCCTCTATGGAGCTCATGGTCAGGGTATACTGAGCAGCCATAGCCCTCTATGGAGCTCATGGTCAGGGTATACTGAGCACCCATAGCCCTCTATGGAGCTCATGGTCAGGGTAATACTGAGCACCCATAGCCCTCTATGGAGCTCATGGTCAGGGTAATACTGAGCACCCATAGCCCTCTATGGAGCTCATGGTCAGGGTATACTGAGCAGCCGTAGCCCTCTGTGGAGCTCATGGTCAGGGTATACTGAGCACCCATAGCCCTCTATGGAGCTCATGGTCAGGGTAATACTGAGCACCCATAGCCCTCTATGGAGCTCATGGTCAGGGTAATACTGAGCACCCATAGCCCTCTATGGAGCTCATGGTCAGGGTATACTGAGCAGCCGTAGCCCTCTGTGGAGCTCATGGTCAGGGTATACTGAGCACCCATAGCCCTCTATGGAGCTCATGGGTCAGGGTATACTGAGCAGCCATAGCCCTCTGTGGAGCTCATGGGTCAGGGTATACTGAGCACCCATAGCCCACTATGGAGCTCATGGTCAGGGTAATACTGAGCAGCCATAGCAGAAACAGAAGGGCACACACTCTGACTGGGCTAGACTAGGACTTTTCTGCAGATCCTTCAAAAGCATTGAATTATTTAATAAAAAAATCAGGCCAACAACACAAACATTTTGCATCTGGGAATCTCAGAATAGATGTACTATCTGCTAGCTAGTGCAGACACAGGAAGGAGATTCTATGAGAAGTGGAGCTTCAGACAATGTTTCAGGGCTGAAACTAATACCAGTCAAAGAGCTTGAGTGACAGTGGATGTTCTGCAGAAAATCATTCAAACTTGACAGGAGAGTAATTTTGGATGTTGTAAAATGTCATTAAAATGTCATTTTAAGTGACATTATAAAAAGTCAGTTAAAGCAAGAGAACACACATCAGCCATGATTCGATTAACTGCCAAAGTAGCTTTAAAAAAAATGAACAATATAATATTGCTCTTACAAATATAAAGTTTAATTTAATAATTAACAGTTACTCTTTTATTTTATTTTACATTCTGAAGGGAATTCAATTAAATATACCATTTGCACAACCAATGATTACTTCCCATCGTTTAGTGCTGCTGCCGTTCAGTGGCTGAAATATCAAGATACAGTATAATAAACCATATGATAACGTCAGAGCTTCTACACAGTAGCTTGATTACAATGCAGTAGAGGATTGATGCCTGCTTTCTTGCAGTCTTGAAATCAACTGTGCATCCTTCTCTTTCTGATGGATATATTAAGGAAACCATTGCTGAAGAGAAGTCGATTCAATCCATGCAGCCCAGAATCACACGTGTCTGGCTCAGCCTCTAAATATTTGATTCAAATCAAAGGAAAAACTCGAAAAAGAAAGAAACCTCAAGTTAAGACTCACAAAGGGATATTGCTTGATATAAATAATAGAAGCCAGTCTATTTCCCTGGCACAATACCAGTTAGCCGTCATATCATTAAGTACAACATCCCAACTCATTCTGATACCTCTAGAGATGTTGGTTAATTTAATTTGAAACAACCTCTGGGGAATACTGCATGTTTGAAGATTTACATTTAATCCACTTTTTTGAGTTAGTAAGCTACAGTATCTTTATTATATTTATCAGTTGATATTAGTCCCATTGTTCACTTTTCGAGAGAGATACATTAAACCTGTCCTTTAGACTCCTTAAATGTCTGTGAAAAGCCTAAGATGTAACCAGTGACACTTTCTTGTGTTCGACAACATATCCCACTTTCTGACATAAAAAGGACCATTTGAGATTGAAGTACCTCTATGAACGAGGCACATGTAGTCTGCTGACAGTATTTAACTGTTGAACAGTATTTATAGTATATACGACTTTAAATTGCTTCAGGTCTCATGTTTTATTTATTTTACCCACAGTGGCTTTGACACTTTGAGGTTGACAACAAAACAAATGCTAACACAGACACAAACAAGAGGTCTCAGCCAACAAAATAAAGAGATGGATGCATAAATAAATAATAATACCACACAGAATGGCTTTTGTTGAAGTCCCCCCTGCTTCTAATGTCTTCTCAATCTGTTCTTTACCCAGTCTGTGATGCATCCCAACACAAAAACACTATAAATACATCACAGTACAACCCAAAGAGAGCAGAAGGCATGTAGGAACATCAACTTCAGCAAAAAGGCAGGTCTACTTCAAGTGCAACATTGAGCGTGAGCTGGAGTCTGAGCTGTTTTTAGTTTAGATGGAGAATGTGTAGGGTTTGTAGAGCAGACAGTTGAGACTTAAGGACAGTGGCTGAAGAACCCAATGCTGGGAGGGAGCAGTGAGCTCATTGGCAGCAGCAGAGCTTAGTGGTCATGTGGTATGGTTTGACCATGTCCTGAATGAATGGGCCTGAGATGTTCACAGCACTAAAAGCAGAGACCAGACTTGAATCACATTTGAGGGTCTAGAGCAGTGTTTCTCAAACTTTTTCATACCAAGGACCACTTAACCAATACAAAAACACTCGCGGACCACCTAACTCCACAAATGTCCAAAAACACATCGTTTTTCTAGAACAGATTACAAATCGCCTGAAAATGGTACAACATGGTGGCAACATGTGTGATGAAGGTGACGCGCTGGACTATATCATGCAATCAAAAGTGTAGCTCGCTCCATTGTGGAGATATTCCCGCGAGAGTGCAGAAAACTTTAATTAATTAATTAATTTCAAATGTGAAATTTTACCAATATACTCACGGACCACTAGGGGGCGCTCACGGACCACCAGTGGTCCGCGGACCACACTTTGAGAAGCACTGGTCTAGAGTGTTACAGGGATGACGTACTATTGGAAGCAAACCGGAAGTTAGCATCACAAGGAGTACCTCAACAAAAAGCTAATGGATTTTTCTGTTGGATTTTGCAGAAAGAAGGGTCCTTGTCCAACACACAAGTCACACATTAATGATACTTACACGTTTTCTTCAGCAGGATAATCTCCACATATTAGAAACACTTTATGATTTTTGAATCACAAATGCAATCTACAGAAGTAAAAAGCTGACGTTAGGCTATAAACAAACTACATCATGGTTGCATGGCTGCGAATCCCCTACTGTAAAATAAGCTAAAGGCTTTGGTGGCATTTAGTTATTCACTTGTTTGTCGCCGCTGTTTTTATGACAAATAAAAGTTTGGGATATTCACCAGTTGGGTATTTACGAACATATTTTATTCCACAGAGCAATATGTGAAAATCTGTTATGCTTGTGTTCTTATTTCAGGCATCTAACTAAAACCAACGTACAAAAAACTGTAGGCATTGAGACAAGGGTTTAAGGATTCCTGATTTTTTACATTATATATTAATACATTATTATAATATGTCTTATTAATCATCATTCTAACACGTCTTTAAAGCAATATTATGCTTTTTATATGTATATATTTTTTCAAAAAATCCACCAGGATGCATACATGGAAGAGGAGGGACCCAGAGGTGACATGACCATCCAATCAGGGCTCAGCAACTCCACAGAGAGCATCGACAGCATGAAGGCCCTGACTGCTGCCATAGATGCTGCCAATGCACAGGTAGGTCCCTGTGAGAGCCAATCAGAAACAGCTTCTGTGAATATTCTATCACCTAATGTGTGTTTTCATCAACGTAGGTCCATGGACCAGCCAGCCAGCATGTCAGTAACAGCACCATGACAGTGAACACCCCCACCCCCACCATCCTGACCAGGGGGCCAGTAGAAGACCACCGGGATATGTACAGGAAAGAAGCACTCAGGAAGGGCAGATGTCTCTCTATAGGCATCCAGGTGTGTAGGGGGGGGGCATGGAGGGACATGGAGGAGGAACATAATGGACTTCAGTTACCTACACAGTATAGATGTCTGTATGTCAGTGGGGAGTCATCTGCTCTACCGTTTACCTATCATTTTACTTATTTTATAAACTCTCCTCTTTTTGGAGGATACTATTAAGTCCAAGTCATATATTCATAGTTAAAATGACTTGCCTTTGCTACCTTCAATACAGATATTTCAGAGGGTATTGGTCTGTAAATTGAATTGTAGATGTGCTGCATTGTGGTCAGATTTATCCTACAATTTATGACCAAGTTGAACTTTGTTCAACTATTTCAAATAGACTAGTTCTCTTTCGAAACAACTCATGATTTATCACACCGGCCCACTGGGAGTTGAATTATGGTGACTTCCTGGTTCAAACTGACATTTGTTTCCTGAAAAGGGATTCTTTAGTGACCCCCAAAACCAATCTAGTGTTTTCCAATTGGGACATGTGTTTTTTTTTAACTAATGTCCACTTAGGTGATTTTGCTAATTATTGCCTATTAACTAATAGTAATTAATCAAATAGCCCAACATGTGTGAGATAGCATCCGGCAGTTTCTAAATGCTGGGGACATTGCTATCTTTCTTATCATATAACCAATACATGTATTCAGTTGTTTTTATTAATGGCATTTGGTGATATTAGTGATTTACCATGCATGTCTTCTGTAGGTGGATGGACCGGAGGATGACCCCGATCCAGAGGACCCCTCCAAGTTCACCTCTGTGGGGGTGCAGGTGGAGGATGACAGAGGGTGAGGCACACATTGTTCTCCACACTTAATCTGTTCCATTGTTGACCCTTATACTTTTTGATTATTTAAATCAGGTCCATGTCTCTTAACAGTTGTCCAGTAGGTTCCACAAGATAGCCAAGTTCCAATATTCCGTTCTCTTACAACTTTTGAATGCTGGCCCTCGTGTTCTGCTGTATGTTTGTGAGCATTTCCTCCAACAGTCAACTAAATGAATCAGTTGTTAAATGTGATGATGCGAATGAATGTGAATAGTTCTACATTACACTGGAAACCTGTACAATGTTTTTCCCTGGAGAATCCGTGCCTTTAGCACCTCAATAACAGTGGATAGAAATATGTAGCTATATACGATGGATAGATTCATAGGTTAATGTTAGTTTACAGTGTAAAAATGCAAGAACTAAAGCTGGATTTATACTTAGTCTACTACTAGTATAGTATACTAATTTACTGCGCTAAACGGCTAGGAAGCACATACCTGTATAGATTTATAACAAATATTTCTATTACATAGGTTGCTGAGGTGATATCAACAGGTAAAGTCAGACGCTTAACTATAAATCCAAAACGTACAAACTGACAATGCCTTGATAAGTAATCCAGTTATACTTTGAACTCTAAAATCAAGATGACTGGCTTATATCTAGGTGTGTTAGTCAAGCTTTTGGCATGATTAACTGATTACAAAGTTAAGACCTTTATTAATCCACGTATGGAAATGCAGGGTTACACAGTGTATTACATCTTTTGAGTTGTGCCACATGATGTGTGTTTTCCTCAGACTCGGAATAAACTGCGCTAAAGGTCTAGGCCATACCCACAACTTCATGATAAATATTTCCATTTATATATTTCTGAGGGGATATCAACCGGTAAAGTCAGACGATAGATTAAAACGTACAAACCAACAATGCATTGATAAGGACAGTGGCGCTGCAGATGTGACATGCCCCCCAACACATCCAGCACAACCGTCAGCTGTGCAACAGCATTCCACTATAGTTCTTCTAATCTTTATTCTTCAACTTCATCTTCTTCTTATTTCAACCAAATAGTTTGTCTCTCAATAACTTCAGCATACTTTCAGCTACAGAAACCATTCAAATATCAAAATATTCAGCCTTTTCAGTACATGATGGGAAACTTTCAACTTTTTCAAAATAGTTTATACTTTTTGAAATATTCAGCTTTTTAAACTCTTTTTTTAACATGTAACTCAATGGGAGAAACCTTCAAATCCTCTTTTACCTACACCGTGCGCTAAATGCTACTCCTTCCACATACTTTCAGCTAGAGACTTCATTCCAACTTTAAAATGATCACAAGAAATGCAGCTATTGATATTGTATTCAGATTATTGATCTTCTTCAGATTTTAACATTAGTGTGTATTGCGCAGCTCATTAACCTGTTAAACCCGGTGCACCGGCAACATCTTGCAAGAAACAGCGTCTGAGGGCTTCTTAACATTTAACAAACTATGAATGTATCATACCCACTTAATGGGAAGAAACTCAGCTACCTGACAATATGAACCATTTTTACCGAAACAAAACACAAGTCTAATGCCGAGCCTCTGAATTAGCACTAAGCGAAAGAGTGCTAACGCACTTAGCACATAGCTCACGGTAGAAATATTTTATACTTCATCGGATCTGCACAAACAAGATATCACAGAGATTCCACAGATTCCAATGGTATAAGTATCATCACTGTGCTACCCATGGGCGTAGGAAGCATCCTGAATGTGGGGGGGACATTTTTAACGGGGGGTGTGGGGGCGAAAAAATATATAGATTTCCTGTATTCTGGTGCATTTTAACAGGTGGTTTGATACTTGTATGTGGCTATACTAGCATGAGGAAAATGATGGGTACATTTTGTAATTTCATCCAGTAGTAAAGAAAGGAAACATATTTGATTATTAATTCAGAGCTGTCTTTGAATTAATAAAAAGCAGTTTAAATGCCCATTTTTTGTACATTTATATACAACAATAAATATTTGAGTGCATTGAGAGATATTGTTGTGGAGAGTCATTTATATATAAATCGCAAAATACATTTGTGAATCCTTCTGTGAGCATTTATTAATATTGAGACTGATCTGACTCCATACAGATGTTAAGTTCAAATAAATGTTGCTCTTCTGTCTATATTGGTCATATGATGCCCCTTGACTGAAATGTTTCCTGTTCAATATCCCCACTGATTTCCTTAAAATCCTGGGATGAGAGTCCACATCACAATTTACTCTCAACTGTCATTTCCCTTTCATCACTCACCTCAGCAATGGACCTCTCTCTCTGTCCCTGTATTCTGCCTCTGACTCACTCTCAAGTGCCTAGATGTCAAGAGAGGTGGTGAAGTGATCATTATTTATTGAGCAGTATACTCTTTCACATTGAATCATAACAAGTCATACTGAATGTAAATACAACTGACTCTAAAGTAAGTCCCAGTCTGTGACATTGGACATTTTGAAGACTCAAAGTCCCAAGCAGTAGGTATCTCTCTACCATGACATAAAGACGAAACTCCTCTCCAGAAGTGAGACGCCGCCATCACTGTTAACTGCTACCAGCTGATGACTTACTTTCCTCTTCTTTGAAATTTTTTTTCTTATGCCCATGTTGTCTGGGGGAGAAAACATATCAAACCAAGAGATCGTCAGCTTTGATTTTCGCTGTATTAACCATTTCCCGAACATTTGGTGTGTGTGCCTTACCTCCGCTACCGGCATCGCTTCATACAACAGATCTGGGGCCTCATTTATAACGCCTTGCGTAGGATTGACGTGAGAAGGTTGCTTACGTAGTACAAAGCAAAAAAATAGGTACAGAAATGTTCCGACATTTTCCGATTCACAAAACATTGCGTACCGGTGAGGGAAGTGCGTACCGGCACTTCATACGCCTGTTTCCCTTTATAAATCACAATCGACTCGAAATGCGGCGCAGCTTTTGCAGGCTTCACGTAACGCCCATATTTGCCTATAAATAGTCAAAGAAACGCCCATTCATTCATTCATTGTGACTGACTGCATGAAGAAGATCGCAGGAAATTACGACCGAACAGCTAAAAAAGACATCTCACACCGTGTCAGATTTTGGTTATTTTGGGGAGGTGGAGATAAATCATATTGTTTGGTGGATGCAGTTTGAACCAGAGTAGCAGCATGGAGGTCGGATCGTCACCAAAATAAATAAATAAGTGGTCCGAAAAAAGTTAATGACAAAAAAATTACACATAACCTTCCTCAGGCAGTGTGTTTGTCCCGGGGACAGGAGACACCCCTTGATGAGAAACTGTAAGAAATGATCGGGGAATCCCTCCGGAGTGGAGTCATGACGACTGGATCTGAATTATTTTGTTGTATTTGGTGGTTTGTGTTCCAGCTGTCGATCAGCAACTATATATCCATAATCCACCAGTTAAAGGAAATACAATGTGTTGTGTTATATTAGCTGTACAATTTACCACATATGGTGTTCTTAGTTTCCATCCCTCCTGTGTTTTACGAGCGACTTATCAAGTCTTGGCAAACGGCATAAAACACGATTAAACGTGATAGTATATAAAACCATGCTCGTATCTACAACCTATAGAAATGCAAAACGGCGTCAGTTTAGACGTAATTCTGTCCTCCTGCTTACCGCATCATTTATGAGAAAACATTTCATAACATTAACACAACATATTCGAGGTGGTTTTAAATAGCATATCCGTATTTATTTATTTCTCCAAGTTATGTTTTTGTGTGCACTGAGGAGTCTCAAACAGGCGTTTGTTTAATCATTTTAAGATTGGCTTTAATCAATGTTTGAAAATGAATTCTTCATATGATAAATGAGAGGTAACATTTTATTTATGGTATTATTTCCACATATTTCTCTCCATTCTTCCTTCTGCCAACGGTGTCGCAGTTTCTCGTCTCTCCCGTTGTTGTGCTTAGTGCGTACGCATGGGTTACAGTTTGCGTGGAGGACCGCACATTTTCCCGTCAAGTTAGTATTTTATAAATCGCAAACATTGCGTAGAAACTGGCGTACGCCATTTTTTGAGCGTATATCCCTTTATAAATGAGGCCCCTGAGCTGTCCAACTATGACAACACTCCTTGAACATGCGCGCGCTATGTGAGAATCTGCCTTGGTACAAAGTAGCAGTGAAAACATGGTACGGAGTTTCATTGATTTGGGCATTCTCTCAATAAGCAAGTGGAATGGATTTAATTTGATAGTAAAGCACTGACACAGCGCTCTACAAAGTGCGGCGAGTGGATAGACCGATTCACGGACTTTCCGCATAGTAAAAGTGGGGGGGTCTAAACTAATCATTTGAAAAAGTGGGGGGGACTTGTCCCACCCTCATATAATGGCTGCGACGCCCATGGTGCTACCAAAACTCGCGGCAGCGAAAGCCAGCAAAGACAACACACAACTTCACTTTACGGCCAAAACGGCAAAGTTGGGGTCTTACCTTTGCTGTTTTCTGTTCGGTTTGGGCAAACTGCGTGCGCATCACTCTCACTCCTCAATAGTAACGTGTAGGTGGATTTACTAACTTCCCCTAGATTCTATTGGCTCTAACGGTTAAAAAGAGGTGTCAATCACCAAAATCGACCAATGGGTTCCAGAGATATGGCAAATACACCCAAATGACCCCAGAGGTGTTTTCTTTTTTTTCTAAACCTCTCTAAAAAGGTCAAATTTCACTTGTTTTGCATCAATCTTGATACAGGGTACTTATTATATTTTATATATAAAATATAGTTTGGATTCCTAAAGCTTTTAGTCTACTATCCAATCATTCAAGGGTGGTTTTCACTATAAGTAATGGGTTTTCTTTGGACGGAAACTATAATTTACATTTTTTTACTATGTTCAATCTGAATTTACTTTAAAATAAAAACATCTATATTGATTCTGACTTCTCTACATCCAACTCACAGGTGTATCATTGCCTTGAGAAAAAAGATTATTAATTTACCCCTTTTAGAAGTGAAGATATAGTCATTTGTTCTGGGCATGTCATTTCGAGCCTGAAACCTGAAAAAGAGGCTCAGGGCTAAACAGGTTAAGGGTTAGAGTGTGTGATGTCACAGCTAGAGTGGAGCAGAGCTTGAAATTCGCCTTACATTTTTTTTAATGTAATTCCCAAACCCTACACTCCTTGGACATCATTTTTCATGAAAAACCTCTCCTACGTGGAAAAATTACAAAAAATTAAGCACAAATGTTTGACAAAATGCCTCTTGAGAGCATGAAGTGACAAAAACGTTCAACATGTCTCCATTAAGGCCCATTGTAAATGCAGCGTCATCTTTCATCACAGCACCAGCTACACACCTTCAGTAAATCTGCCAAAAAAGCCACATTATTGACCCGAAAAGCAGACTGAGACACTCCTCAGGGTCCTGAAATGCTCCACGCGTTGAAATGTTACCCATAGCTGCTACCGTTTTTAAACTATAGTTAGAAATGTAAGAGGTTTATCTCTCATTCAGAACAATGGAAAGGCTCTCCTTTCACTGCACATCTCCATGGTAACCTTTGATCTCTGGGCTCACACACAGGTTTTTGATAACGTCTTCACCTGAAACACAAACACACAGACTGGAGTTTAACAGACTGTCTCAGGCCCCGGCCCCACGGGAACGCATACGGCAAAACGCATAGGATTAACGCAAACGCAATCGCCAAAAAGCTTCCGTCCACACGCAATATACACCGGATAGTGTCTGCCCACACGAGACAGCTCCGTTTAGCTCCAACCGCTGGAAAAGCTGCAGTACATATGCCGAGCCTGTACGTGGCGCTGTAACTTCCTCCACAAAGGCAGCGAAGAAGAATGGTTGTCATGGCTGCACTTCTGTTTATTCTCCGCGGTGGGGGCCGAGGGAACCGGGCAGAGTTTTTCGCCGGTCAACGTGTGTTAAAGTTGAAATCTTCCGGACAAAATTATAAAAGTGTCGGTCAAAGGTCTTCTTTGTTATTTATTAAGCTTTAAAACAAATGAATAACGACTCTATATAATAATAAAATATACGGAGCCTCTCTTTTTCCTCTCTTCTGACAGCGTCAGTGTCTGTCTCATGCAGCAGCTGATCCAGTAATGAGTGACCCGACAGTAAAAATAAACATATTTATAACTAGTTTAGGTAGTTTGAGTGGTAATTAAAATAGCTAAGGGTGATGATCTGACTTGAAGTGTGTGTTTTGCTCCCGCTGCATCACAGCAGGAGGAGCTGCGTGTCTCCGTCCTGTCAGATTAGACTTCACTCGCGTTTATGTCCATATCGAGATAAAGATAAATAATCTGAATTCAGTGTACAGTGTACTTTGACGCGGGGGTGAGCAGCAGAGGTGGGGAGAGGCGGGGCTATTGCGTCATCATTATCACAAAATGACCGTATAGAGGCGATCACACGGAGCCGTATGACCCCCCAGAGCGCTTGACCCGTTGTCGTTTGCGGGGTCCGTTTCTATCGTTCCGTTATGGCCTCGTGTGGCAAAAAGGGCTATACGCAAGAGAAATATGCGGATACAACCCGTTTTCATTCCCGTGGGGCCGGGGCCTCAGCCTATTATTTTCTGTCTGATGGAGACTTCATACTGACTTCAACATGTTCCACATATTTTATACATTATTGGTGATGTATGGTTTTAGTTCAAAAGTTTGCAGTTAAAATATTCTGCTGCTTTTCAAAGTGTTTTTACTTTCTTTTCTCTTCTTAATACACATTCATTCACTACTAATCACATCTGATATGTAACTCCTTCAGCCTACTTTCAGCTGCAGAAACCATTCAGCTATTACATTATTCAGCTATTTCAGGACATTGAGGCTATACATGTTGTCTATACCTTATGTAAACCTTTTCTTTTAAATATTAAGCTTCTTCACTATTCTTCCTACTCTTCCAGTTTAACATTTCACTTTCAAGTTTTCAACAAAGTCATTGCAATGCATTTGAGCTGTAACAATTTGATTCAAATCATTTCACTTTTCTGCATTTCTCCGCTAAGTTCAGCAACACACTGACTTGGTTTTTGTAGCTACAAGCAGCTTTTGCTTTTCAAAGCTAATTTTGTGAGGTTTGGTAGTTTGTTGGGTTAACCCAACTGGAACTGATGTCTGCAGTAGGCCCAACAGTATGGTCCAAAGTGTGGGACCCCCCTCACTATAACCCCACAGGCTACAGCCTCCAGTATGGCTGAAGAGTTGAATCAACTCCTGCCTGCAACAGCTAACACTGAGCATGGTGGTTTTCATGAAAGAAGGATTCATTGCACCGCTGTTGTATTGGACTGCATTGATTTTTTAGTAATGTGAACCTAGTAAATTGAACAAATATACAGTACCAGTCAAAAGTTTGGACACACCTTCTCATTCAATGGTTTTTGTTTATTTTAATTTTGTTCTACTTTTTAGATGAATACTGAAGACATCAAAACTATGAAAGAACATATGGAATTATCTAGTTAACAACAAAGTGTTAAAAAATCCAGAATATGATTTTTATTTTCTATTCTTCAGAGTAGCCCCCTTTTGCCTTGATGACAGCTTTGCACACTCTTGGCTTCTCTCAGTCAGCTTGTGTGTTTCAAAATTCCTCTGCGAAGCAAGGAGTCAGACCAGGCAATAAGGTTATGATAAAACTCATTTATTGCAGTTGTGATAAGAAATACAAATGCTCAGCTGAGGTCTGGTGCTGGTGACCACTGTTGGTGATTTATTCAAAATTCAAGGCACACTTAACCAACATGGCTACCACCGCATTTTGCAGTAATATAAATCGTATTCTGGATTTTTTAACACTTTTTTGTAGATAATTCGTTCTTTTATAGTTTTGATGTCTTCAGTATGAATCTACAATGTAGAAAAAAATTAAAAAAAATTAAAAACTTTGAATGAGAAGGTGTGTCCAAACTTTTGACTGGTAGTGTATGTCACTTTAATTTAATGTACAAAAGACACGTACTCACTCACCAACAAATTCAAGTATTAAAGTCAAGATGAAGGTGACAGACAAGGTCACAGTGTTGTCAGACAGCTGATTCATAATGTGAGAAAGAGTGGATAGTAACTTTCGCATAGTCTAACTCCTGGACGAGTGAACAATGAGGGACTGTTGGTTGGTGAAACTGACCAGTTGAGCATTTAATGCATGATGCATGATGTGAGTCAGCAGCAAACACATGTTGCAGTGTGCTAGTGATAAAGCTCTAAATGCTATTAAAAAAACTTTTGTTTGAAAAAGTCACACAGATATTTGTGCCTTTTTAAAAAGGCTTAAGGACATTGGGGTTTAAGAATGTAACCTTTTTTTCCTGGGCGGAGTGTATTCATTGGCGATGCTTATTTGAATAGTAATTTGGCACAATTATCTTAACTAAGCTATTTTTCCATGCATCTCTGGTGTTTCCACTTCTGATGGCCTAGTGTTGGCAGCAGGCTCAGCCACTTAGTCCAGAACAGGGTTTGGAGGGTTACTATGAAAGTGTAATTCGTTACAAAGTCACATGGACATTTTTTAAATCTCTAACGTAATCTAAGTAATACAATATAAATGTAATGTAAACTGATTACTTTCCGTTGCTTTTGGATTACCTCTACTGTATATAATACAAAGAAAATCAATACAAAGTAAAGAAATATCAATAAGATGTTATGTGAGACAACAGAACAATGTGTCATCATCATCAGTTTACAAACGCTGTTTTAGTTTACAACTTCAATTAAAAGAAAACGCCATTTTTTGTTTAATAAATCATTTGTCTATACTGCATTAAAAAACAAAATATAAAATCAAAGAATAAAAAACTAAAAGAAAATTCAGACAGTACCTCTACCTATAATATATATCTTTATTTTAAAATGTTTTGTAACCTGCTATTAATCCCCATTTTTAAAGAATGTACCAGTAATTTGATTACATCCGTGTTTATGTAAAAATAAATTAATCCGGTTACATGTAATCTGTTACTCCCCAAGCCTGGTCCAGACATCCCTCTTCCCAGTCATTTATTGTAGCTCCTCCTGGAAGATTTGAAGGTGTAGAGCTGAGCAGGAATATATCTTATTATTACCGCTCCATCTCCCACACGGTCCCTGGTTTCTTTATTGCCAGAAAGTGTTCGTCCCTAGATCCACAGCAGTGTCAGCACACCCAGCTGACAGTAAACCAACCCCCAATGCCTACTCTGCAGGTAGGGCCACACAGAAAATGTGTGCCTTCCTGTAGTTTTATTAGGCTGTACCTGAAGGCACCACACACTCCCAGGTCTGATGTACCCATTCTTTGAAGGACTGTGAATTGGGACATTCTTTTACATCCAAACCACCACTGAGAGTATGTGATAAATAAAGCTTGAATCATGAATGTGTTGCCTGGGAGCAGACATAGTAAAAGAGTTGTTGTTCAGTATTTTCTGTTTGTCTCCCTCTGGTGGTCAGGTATCGTCGGTTCCAGCGCTCTAACAGTGTGACAGCAGCGGTGCAGGTAAGCTGCAACCACTGCTGCTTTGAATTACTCGGCTTTAAACATGAACCCCTGAAAGGAACTGTTTATTCTCTCTTTGTCCGCTTTTTATTAGTTAATAACTTATCAATATATCAAAATGTATCAAAATACAGAACCACAGTCGTGTTAAGTAACTAAGTAGATTTACTTAAATACTGTACCTAATTTGAGGTATTTGTACTTTACTTGAGTATTTCAATTTTTGCTACTTTGTACTTCTACTCCACTACAATTGGAGGTAAATGGTGTACTTTTACTCCAATACATTTATTTAATACCTTTAGTTACTTTGCAGATATAGATTATTGATAAACAGTTTGATCAACACTAAAATCAGACTTTAGTTACACCTGGATCCACAATCTACCCAGAAGTAAATAAATACCTTATAACTAGTTACATCTTTACCAGCTTCATAAACACATCAATAATTGCAATAATCTGCATCATTCATACTCTTACTTTTGGTACTTTAAGTATATTGTGATGCTAATACTTCTGTACTTTTTCTTGGGTAACATTTTGAATGCAGGACTTTTACTGTAACAGAGTATTCCACACTCTGGTAGTTGTACTTTTCCTAAGTACAAGATCTGAGTACTAGCTCTTACAGTCAGAGGCACATTATTAATCAAATAAGTTGTTCCCGGCCTAAATAGACTTCAAATAATTTGGAAGCAAGTGGAGACACCTTGTGGTCAAAAGGTCTTACAACCATGTGCTCATTGAGACAGTTTTTGAGATGTATTCTTTACCATGCAGGCAGACCTGGACCTGCCGGACCTGCTGGACACCCCCCTGGATTCCCCGGACACCGACATGGAGGTCCTGTCCTCGGGCGCCCTGTCCTCGGGGGCCCTCTCTCGACAGTACTCCCGCGATGCTGCCACCTCCACGGTCAGCATCCAGGGCTCAGGGAACCACTACCACGCCTGCACCTCCGACGACTACGACGATGTGGGCTTCGACCCCTCCATCCTCCCCCCCCCGGACCCCTGGATAGACAGTGTGGCCGATGACTCACTGGATGTCAACTTCAACAGCTCTGCTATTCTGGAGGTATGTGGGAGCATGCTCCGTCATTTTATAAGAACAGGGCTGGGACGTCCAAGGAACAAAGCATTGATTTATTTCACTGTTTCCTGACTCACTCATTAACTCCAAACAATTAGTACTGTTCATGCCTTCATAATGTTGATCTGGGGGTAACTCTGCACTAAGAAAAGTGTTATAATAAAAAGGGAAGAAATTAATAGAAGTGTAATTTGACTAACCTAACTGCTAGTGACAAAATAATCATAGATTCCTCTTTTAATAGCCTTTTCTCTGTTGTATTTATGCAAATTACTTTATATTACATCCTTAGAAAGTGTTATTAAATTGCGTTGACATTTGTGTAGCTCATTCTTCTTGTATATTAGACACAGAAACACACAAAATCCCTAATACTACACTAACATTATAACTTATTTTTGAAAAGCTTACGTTTTGTTCCATAATGATGTGGATATGCATAATGTAAAGTGTCTATCACCTAATGAAATCAGCATTAGATTACAATATAGGGAGCATGTGGCTCAGTGGGATAGTGCGCTAATCTTTGGATCAGTGGAGCACTGGTTTAATCCCTGCTGCAGTCAGTATGTTGTCCTTGGGCAAGGCACTTCACCCCAACTTGCTCCTGTGGGGATTTCCCACAGTACTGAATGTATGTAGGACGCTTTGGATAAAAGCATCTTTCATATCAGTGGTTTTCATTTGATTAATGCAGTTACATTTTAGATCACTAAATTGTTTTCGAAATGTAAACTCAACACTTTACTGCCACAATCTTTTAAATGTATGTGAGATAAAAGGTTTTGTTTTGATGTTGCTGCTGGCTGCTACAGGAGATTTTCACCTCAACAGAAACGTGCTGTCGGACACTGAATGAGTGAGAGAACATTCAAACCACTAAAGTGTTGCTGTGAAATCATGACATCTAAAAGCTAGTGGTATAACATTTCAGAAAGTACCTTTAGTTGTTTAATCCACCTCGGAAACATGATTCTGTACTGTATTACCGTGTAACAGTAATATGTCATCAACACAGGTCGGTGTGGGCTGTGACGGATTATTGATTACTAAACTCCAGCAAGTTTACAGAACAAAATGGAGGCAGTAGATAAACAGAAAACGGTCAGCAAAGGTCATGGATAAGATCCTGTAAATGGCTTTTCTCCTTTATTTCTTATTTTTTAACAGATACCAAATGACGAACAGTGCAGGAAGAGTCAAAAACCCATTGCGCTTATTTGAAGCCTCTACCTAAATAATATTAAAAATCACCATTTTATATAAAACACAAGATATGTTGTTTATACAAACAATTGCTTAAATTCAATAAAAATGGCAAACTTTCCAAACAACATATACTATATTAAACATTTAAATAAAGTAACACTAATATGAATATGAACACCAGGCATCATACAGAGGTCAAATTCAGGTTTCTTTAACCATAACAGTAAAGCAGTCAATGTGAAGTATATCATGGAATAAAAAAAACTGGAAAGAAATGCTATATTGTATTCTAGAGATTAAGTTTTATGTAGAGTCATTTAGTTGGTCTTTTAGTTATCCGACATTACACACTGTTTGATATTTCACATCAATAGTTAGCAAGCAATGGAAACATCATTTATGATACCGTACATGCTGGATACCGTATGCCTCTGTCACATGTCAGTGAATGTAAAGTGGCTGCAGGTGTGTCCACATGTTGTGAAGCTGGTTGTTTGCCTGGCAGGTGGTGCAGCGCTCCGTGTGTCACAGAGACGGACACTGGTTCCTGAAGCTGCTGCAGGCGGAGACCGACCGCATGGACGGGTGGTGTCGGCAGATGGAGCTGGACCAGAGGGACAACGACCTGCCGGAGGACAGTACGTCTCTGTTGTCATGTAGAGGCTTCCATACATGTAGCCTAGGGTGAAAGAAGATTGTTTACTTGTATACTACAGTGTCAAAATACTCAGTTACAAGTAAAAGTCCTTAAATGTTCAAATTCTAAATGATACTTTAGTAAAAGTAACAAAGTACTAGCATCAAGATATACTTTAAGTACCAAAAGAAAAAGTATTCATTATGCAGAATGGTCCATTTAAGCACCATACATTTGAATAATTGTTTTATAATTATTGATGCTTCGTCACTTCAATGTTGCACTTGATAAAAGTGGGCTTTAATTGAATTACCTATACGTATAATAATGGGTTGCTTGACCTATAATAGTATATGATCATGAATTCTTTGATTTATATTTTGTATCAATAGCCTTAATCTGTGAAGTAGATATTAACTTAATATGTCAAATACATGTAGGGGAATAGAAATATGAAGTTGCATATTGTGAATATACTCAAGTAAAGTACAGGTACTTCAATGTTCTGTGCTTGTGTTGTTTTCTCTGATTTCTTTGCCTTTTCTCTGCCATGCTTATTCATGGTAAAAATCCGAGCTGGAATTACGGGAGCAACTTTGGGTCAAACTTGATGTGATTCATTAGCATTCATATTCTTTTTTACGCGTTCACGTTTCCAGATGAATTGCATTACGATGATTTCACAAGAACACAGAAAAAACTGAAATGACTCACATAACTGTATTAGGTTAGTTGAAAGCAATAATATTACGTTTAAATAAAAAATATTAGGTTCAACTTAAAGGTGGGGTAGGTCATTTTGGAGAAACCAGCTCGAGATCGCTAGAATTTGAAAATACACAGCCGTAAAAAATCTCCCACTTCCTTACAGAGCCCCTCCTCCAACACACACGAACGCGCACATGACCAATGAGGGCACGAGATAAGTTTGTGCACAGATGGAAGGCTGACAGGCAGGTAGGCCATCCAGTTATTTTAGCCGGGCCGGCTAAAATGATTGGTCGTACTTTTTACAGTATTACGGCTTCCACAGATTACATTTTTTTATGGATTTGTTGTCAAAGCACTTCAGATATTCATTGCTATCGGGATGTTAAGAGCATTCCATGGAATATAACAAGTGTATCTCGAGCCGGTTTCTCAAACTTACCTACCCCACCTTTAATGTAATTGCTTTCAACTTACCTAATAATACATGGTATTTATATAGCGCTTTTCCAGGTGCTCAAAGACACTTTACATTACATGTTACTTTTAGATGCTTTTGTGCAAAGCGACTTACATGCATTCAGTACTGTGAATACTGTGAATGCAATCATGTGTAATCTGTTGCCATAATACACTTAATTAAAGTCAACTTTTCCGTGTTTTGGGTGAATGCACTGGACATGGACACATAGAAGAGCTGAGAGGCATGAGAAGTGTTGTTAACAGTCTCTGAGGAGCAGTGTGTGTGTGAGTGTCTCTGAACTGTCTCTGTCTCTCAGTCCTGGGGAAAATGAGGAGTGCGATGGGAAGTGCTCAGCTGCTGATGTCTCAGAAGTTCCAGCAGTTCAGGGAGCTGTGTGAGGAGAACCTGGTGAGACTGAGCGCTGAGAACAATCATTTCATAATTACATTCTACATCTTTGACTTTGTGTGAGAGACTTTTGACTGAGCTAAGATTTGATTTTGAATGACATTCTTCATTCCTTGAATTACTTTGGATTTCCTTTACCCATTTATTTATTTCCTGTTTCTTCTTCCAAGTTCTTTTTCATTTCCTCAAACTTTTTTACTTCTCACTGACCTTATGTTTGTGACATTCTGAAATTAAATATTTTTGAATATGTGTATCTTGAGATGTTGGTCAGTCAGACTCAGAAATCTCAGCAACTCACTGAGTAGATTGTGCTGAACGTTGGGACGGATATTTATTGTCCACATGGGAAAAATCCTATTTATTGATCGCTTGAATTTCCCTGTGGCCAACATTAGATCAACATTTAACAATATTTCCGTCAAAGAGTGAGTGTAAATCTTAAACCATATCTTTTTCACTTTGTAAAATAATTATATTTAATTCCATATGAATGTTATAATCATTTATCATATCAAATGATAACAATTTGATGGATATCTTTCTTTGATTTAGTTTAGTTTAGCATATAACTTTTTCCTAATAATTTTTGATAGCAGTGAAACATGTCTTCACTTACTAGAATAGAATAATCACTGTTTCAGTCCATCAATATAACTAGTTCTGCAAACAAATCGTATTGATGTACTAAGATAATAAAGGAAATGACAGTATGCAACAGAGGTGTGGACTCGAGTCACATGACTTGGACTCGATTCAGACTCGAGTCACCAATTTGATGACTTTGGACTCGACTTGACAAAATCACAAAACACTTGCGACTCGACTTGGACTTGAACACTAATGACTCGGGACTTGACTTGGACTTGAGCCCTCTGACTTGAGGTGACTTGATAATTTAATTCAGAGGTCTCCAACACGCCGATCGCGAGCTGCCGCTAGAAGAGCAGACTCCCGTCTGGGAGAGCAGAATCTCCAGCCGCTGCAACTCTTGCTGAGAATCCTTGCAGGCAGGGGCGGGACTTTATTTTGCTGAGCCACCATGCGGCCAATCATATGCGAGGACACACTAGGATCATACCATTATGTGAAAGAAGGGTGGGGGGCAGACGCTCCAAAGACAGCAGGTGTAGTGGTACAGGCCAGCTACACAGAGCGACGGGTAGACAGATTTAAATGCAAGCGCGTCGGAAAAAGTCAAGAAATTAGCGAAAACTGAAAAAAGAAGCAGCTTCTGGCTGCATGTCAATGATATTGGAGAAAGCAAAGCTGAGTGCAGGATTTGTAAAATAAAAATAACCTTCAGAGCAGGGTTTTTTTTTTGGTAACCACTCAGGATTTATTGTCAGAGGTGGGAGAAGTTCAGATCTTGTACTTGAGTAAAAGTACCAGAGTGTAGGAATACTCGGTTACAATAAAAAGTCCTGCATTCAAAATGTTACAAGTAAAAGTACAAAAGTATTAGCATCAAAATATAGTTAAAGTACCACCTGCAGAGGGATCTAGATTCAGGTGTTCTTTTCCCCATAGAGACGCCTCGCTGCACATTATCCCTTGCATAAAGATAGATTGTGGGTCCCTTATAACATGCTGTACACAGTGGAAATAATCATTCTGGTCACCTCAACATCAGGGATCTTATACATTAAACTCCTTCTGAATCAAACCGTCACGGTAGCCTTACCTTACTGATCCCTCTTACAATAGAAGACAAACACGTTACTTTACCAGCAGAGAGAAAAAAGATTATTAAATTATTAATGTGACTAATAAAGAGCAGTTTGATTATTAAGTATTATTCTGTTGATCGATGTCATTACATTTGTTGAAAAGCACATAATGACTTGTTTAAGACTCGTTTTGTCAAAGTTTAGGACTTGGACTTGACTTGAACTTTCCCATCCTGACTTGAGACTTGACTTGGACTTGAGCGCAAAGACTTGAGACTTGACTCGGACTTGCAAAACAATGACTTGGTCCCACCTCTGGTATGCAATGGGTGTCCAACCAGCATGTTTCAGCTACATATTGGAGTTTACCAAAGAACCATAGGGGTCTTATTGGACACCCCTATGTTCTACCTCATTGAGGTACAACAACAAAATGTGTTGTACAAATATACATTTGTATTACTGTATTTAATAAGGTTTATCTTCCCTGTCTGTAATATCTGAAACTTATTTCTCCCCCCCCATCCTCTGTTCCCACTGTCCCAGAACCCGAACGCACACCCCCGCCCGGTGGCCTCAGACCTGGCAGGGTTCTGGGACATGCTGCAGCTGTCCATCGAGAACATCAGCCTCAAGTTTGACGAGCTGCACCAGCTCAGAGCCAACAGCTGGAGACCCCTGGACCCCCCCGACAGAAAGGTACACATTATTAGTCTGCTGTCGGTTGATCAGCGATAACACCCCCATCTAAAGAGAAGGTTTCATATTGTAGTATTTCTTTGTTATAAGGCGCTTTCACACCGCAGTACTTTTCCCACAAAGGTTCATCAGAACTTAGATCGCGTTCACACCGGAATAAGTTCCTGGGGGAGGATTAGGCAAATAAAGCCGCTGACGTCACTTCTTCTTCTGCTTTGGGTTTACTGGCAGGCAGCAAACAACTTCACGGCGTATACTGCCACCCGGAGTCCCCGGCCGGAAGTCCCCGGAGTTGGGGACTGGCTTCAGTAGAAGCTGCTGGGACTCCCAGCAGCTTCTACTGAAGCCTTCCGAGTAAATCGCCAGAACGCCGACACCTCCTCATCTCCACCGCTCCCATGTTTTCTTTTGTGTTGCCATAAGTTAGTCTCTCTGCGTTTGTGCGCTGGGCGAATGCTAATGCTAATAATGCTAATGCAAGGATAATAAAATGGCGGCTTCACAAAACTTTTTGGGAGTTTTACGGGGCGTGGTTTGCATTCCGCCCAGCCAATCAGACATAGGAACCTTTTTCTCCCACGAAAGTCCATACTCTCTAGCAGGGACGAAAAAGGGGTAAAAAGGTTTTCATTAACTCATTTTAGTTCCGGCTCTTTTTGGTGTGAACGCGACATTTCGGAACTATATCTGAACTAAAGTGGGAAAAGTACTGCAGTGTGAACGCGGCTATTGATGCAAGTCATTATATGAATGTCTCATTTTGCAACAAATTACTTGTAGTACCCTCAGGTAATTTACTGTTCTGCTTTTCCATCGGTGTAGTCCATTCAGCCAATAAAACACAAAGTGTGTTAGCAAAGTCATTATCTATCATGCTGAACAGAAATCCTCGGATCCTGACATGGATCTAAAATGAAAGAAGAAAATGACTCTATGATGATCAGAATACTGCCTTCATATTTTGGGCAATCAGTTTCAGATTGACTAAGAGTGACTTGTTATTTTTCAGTAGTTTCCATGGTGAAACCTTTGGTCATCAAAGTTCTGTCATTCACCTGCTTCTGATTTAGAGTGTTTGAGACCAAAGCAGCCCACTGCTCTACAACCATCCCCACCCAAACGGAACACTAACTCATGCTACATTAAGATCATCCAATGACATACTGTACACTTCATGCCCATAACACACTGGTTTGTAACCACTAATGCATGGCTTGCTCTATGGCCATCGCATGCTTTTTGTTGTATTTTGAAGAAACTGCCATTATGCGAGACGACAGCATTTATTTTCTTTCCATTGTTGATAATTGATGGCCAGAAATGTGTCGCACAATCTGAAATGCATCTAAATAGATATCGACACAAATTGAGAGTCATTTAGTATTACACCATCTCACACAGTGTTGCATGAATCTGCAGGGCTGTTGTAGGGTATGATTGTGAAGCCTAATAATCAGAGGTCAGTCACACACCTTGTTCCTGGATGGAAGCCTTTATGCTGGATGAAAAGCAGGTAATAATGCCCACTGTTAAAGTAACCTTAGCAGCCATTCTGAATAATACATTCCTTGGCTTTAAGTGTGAGTTTTGGTGGTGGATTTACAATAGGTTTTCACTTGACGTTAAGCAAAGAAAATCTCCTTTATGTATTTCAGAATCACTCAGCCGTCCCTCATGCTGCAGTTATTGCATGGTTGTCTGACTTGTTCTCTGCGGTGCTACAGATACTCTTCCTCCTACTCACGTTTGAGTGTGAATCTCTTTCAGATATCTGGCGCCTGGCCTGCAGTATCTGTGGTGGCTTTGCTTCATTGAATACTAACTCTGCCGGCTTCCTCATTTGCTCTCATTGTTGTCTCTTTTTCTTTCTTGTGCTTTTTTGTGTTGACAGTGAAGGCGCTTGCATCAATCTGCGTAACTGCAGTGCCAACAGCACCACGGGGCCTTGACACCTCTGGGCCTCCGTAGCTCCATAACTGTCTGTCTTTCCATCCATCTGTCCATGCTTCCTCTGCCCCTTCCTCCCCTCTGCCGCCTGCCGCCGCCTGCCCATCTGTGGCTTTCTGTTGTGTGTGTTTAGCAGCAAGTGGAAGGACACATGGACAGGAGAGAGTGTGGTTCAAGTCCTATGCAATGAATACCAAGTGCATACACACAAACCCTAAAATAGCAACAGGAATATTGTGCTATCCAGAAACAAATGCAATATTCAAATAACATTTGTATTGCAGTTTAAGAAGGATTCAAAGTTATTCAACCAATTATTTTCATGGTTGGGATCCCTTTGTCTTTGCATAATGTGCGTCTTACTGGACTATGCAAATGCAGCCTTAGTGTTCATTAAGTGCACTCAGGATCTAGTAGAAAAAGGCTCAGCTCAGTGTCGAATTGTATTTCAAAATCAGGAATGAATAAGATAATAACGGGTGAATACAGAATTTGAGTGGGTGTATGGTTGGGACGCTAAAGTCAGAACATCATATTCAGTCTTTCAGCTATAGAGAAGGACTTTAAAACATGTGTGATTTAAAAGAGGCGTCAAATCTTTAGAAAACAACACAACAGCATCTCTGATTATTGGTTTCACTGTTGGACAATACTGAGTAATGTCTCAGACTAACAATAACTTCATCCTACTTGTCATTTCAATCAAAACGATTTTGACAGCTGGTTTTTAAGGTCCTGTAAATAAATGACGCTCACATGGTTAAATATCTGGGTTTATTATGACTTGGATCTTATGTTTATAGTTCTGACCGGTTGAGCCTATCAGTGAGGACAACAAGTCGATTGCTGAGATATGGCAATAATTGTTCAAATAAGTCAGACAGGTGGAGAATCATGGGCGAGCAGACGATCAGGTTGGGAGCCTCAACAAACATTTGGGTTCACAGACCAACTTCCTGCTTTAAATCTTCCCATCATTCTTTTTGTAGTCGTGGCTTTTGACACGTCAGACTTTGTTGTGGCATTTTCCATCTCAGTTATTAATTAGTTGAGTAAGATGTGGTGTTATCGGATATACATGAGGGACTAAACGATAAAAAGGAGACCAAATATATCAGAATAGTTTTATGTAATCAGAGACATGGGACATTACGTCGCCAATGCCATGTTTACAGTTTGTACAGTTATCAAACAAATGAAATAAGTGCAGGAACAGACCTCGCCACAGGATGCTCTTGCTATTAATTCATTATATTTACCTATTATATTAGTTAAATACCTGCATGGCATGCATATAAAACCTGAAACCATAAGGTCACACACAAACACACGTTGAACAGTAGGTACGATGTTAGCTGCCCAATGCAGATGGATTGTTGTACAGCACAGAAACGTTTATTTCAAAGAATATGGAACAAAAGTGTGAATAAACACGTGTAGAAAATAAGTTAAGATTCCACAATAAGAGCATCTATGGGAGCTGCACTTCTATTGAAACAGTGTTTGATGCAATATGTTGAAAATGTGGAGCAAGAAAGGATTCTAAAAGAAAAGAAAATATTTGGACAGGAAGTCTAATCCACCTGTAATGAACGTATTACAAACAGGCATACATTAAACCAGGAGCCATTAGAGACAGAATCACTGGCACACAAACACGTCTGTCTTTTTCCTGAAATGTTCTCCCCCCCCCCCCCCCCCTTACCGTCCTCTCCCACTAGGAGAGGCGGCTCCCACCTCCAGTGCCAAAAAAGCCTCCCAAGGGCCCCCACCACCACCCCCCCCTGGCCAGAGACCGCTCCCTGGAGAGCTCAGAGAAACAGCGGCAGGAGGCCAGGAAGCGCCTGATGGCCGCCAAGAGAGCGGCATCCGTGAGGCAGAACTCGGCCACGGAGAGCGCCGACAGCATCGAGATCTACATCCCCGAGGCTCAGACCAGGCTATGAGGGCACAGCAGGGACTCACACACACTCAACGTACACAACACACACATGTAGGGTTGTCCACGCTAATGTGTAAGGGTGTAACCAATTTCAAAATGTCTTAAAGCATCATACAAAAATCCCTACAGTGAGGGGAATGGGCTCTTTACAGTTGTGTCCCTATCTATGGTATTAAAACAGCTCTTCATAATCATAAAATGCAGTATTTTCTTAACATTCGTATGATCCTTTTGAACCACTTTCAATGTGCAGTGCCAACCTGAGACTGACTAATAAAAAGACAGTCTTACATGCTCATGCTAATGAGACAGGGAGCTTTTACAATCTTTCTCAATAGCTTTCTCATTATAAAGAGTGTAATCTGGACCTCTTCCAATGCACGCACAATCCCCTTCAAACAGGCAGTAAGGCAGCACGAGATGGGCCTGTTTGGAGCTTTTTCATTTCCCAAGATAGACACATAAAACCTACTTTAATATCATCCTCCTTTTATAAACACACCCTCAAGAAAATCATGCAATACAAACAATTCTTGAATTCCGCCCATACCCCTCACTGAACAGTCGTTTTTTGAAGATGAAATTCCAAAAGTATTGCAAATCATAATACCTTGGTTATCCTCCTCTGTACAGACATTGGCTTTGTGTTACACCCTTACCAACAGATTTGCAGTTGACTTTCCAAGACCCACAGGACCCAGATACTGAACCCCTCAGTGTGTCGGCCATGACCTGTAAGAGTTGTCCAAACCTGTGATACAGCAGATGTTACCGTGTTCACCCATCATCTACACAGGGAGCATACCTGACGCTTCAACGCTGCCTTTAAGGATATGTCTATCATCAAAGAGGCCAAATGTCCTTTTGTAAAAGGCCTCAGCTACAGCTATGTTACAGACATTCTCTGTATTACCTTTGCTCCACTATAAATAGTCAATATAAAACATATAAAAATAACATATATTATACAATAACGAATTATATATAAATGTACGAAAACTGGCCAATATAGAATGGTGCAGAATTGAGTCCTAAACCCAGAAGTAATTTAGCATTTTTAGCAACGTTTTTTTAAAACGTGTTTTTGGTTAAAGTCGCGAATAAGGTCTGTGGTAAACACAAGTTTTAAAAAAAATCACTTTTTGTTCTAAGACAAAAGATATATCAGTAAATACCCCACTGATGAACGTCTGAAGCTTCCATGTGTCTTAAAAACAGCGGTTGCTAAGAGACTAAATGAGACTACTAAAAGTCATTACGCTAAACATTAGCCGTTTAACCTTTAGCTTAGCGGTGGTGACATAAAGTAATGTAGTTTGTTTATAGAATAACGTTAGCTTTTTACTTCTGGAGATGGCATTTACACTCCAAAATGATAAAGTTGTTAATATGTGGAAATTATCCTGCTGAACAAAATGTTTAAGTATCATAAACATGTGTTTTCCTTAGAGCTTATTTGCTGCAATATTTAAAAACCCAATAGAAAAAGCCCTTTGCTTTTTGTGGAGGGAGCCCTTGCAGTGCTAACCTCCGGGTCAGGCTACAGAAATACATCATCACTGCACTGCTCTATACATAGCCTTCAACCTCAAATGAATAACCTTAAACGTAACTCTGATGAGGGGCTTCAGCCATATGTCGCCAACAGGATCAAATCAAGTATGAGACACCACCACTTCACCCTGCATGTTGGTGTGATGCTGCAGAGTGTTCGAACCTCACAGGTTTGGTCACATGACACAGGACATGGTTATCTGTCGGTAAATGTTGAAGGTTTAGTCTGAGGGTCTTGTAAAATGACAAGAACGTGCAATATGTGCAGTGGTGATGGACAATCTTACACACACAAAACACACACACACAGCCAGTAACACACACACAATCATAAAGTGGTGTCATCGGGAAACACTTGAAATACACACTGGTTTACACTCGCACACACTCGGCCCGTCAGCACCCACAGATGATCCTTCAGGCTGCTGTAATATAGATCTCTCTGGGGGAGAGAGCGCCATGATCACTGTTGATCTTCATCTTCCTCTCCACACCACATCAGTTCTTTATTGAACGCCATGTAATAATGAACATGTATTTTCTTCTTCTATGGTGAACTCTCTAAAAAAAAAAGTGGGACAATATCTCAAAGGAAAATTCTGTTGTTTTACCAAACTTAGATGTATTTTCATAGTTTTGGACATGATTCTGGTTGTGATGATTTTATACTCACAGGTTGTGTCACAGGGACTGCACTGCCACCAGGCAGATTTTAAGCGAACATTTATTCAAGGATTTGTTTAAAAACTGTCCGCTTGCTTTTCTGGTTGCGTCCTCTGTAATTTAGCATTTCAGCTATTAATGACCAAAACGACAAAAAACTAAGTTGTAAATAAACACAATTTTCTTTTACCCCAGCCTGTGTAACTTAGAAAGCCATCAAGTGAATTAAGAAGTGCTGATACTTTCAAACACACTTCATGGAAACATGCCTAATAATGCTGAGAAATGAAAGGGTTTGGGTGTTTAGATGGTCACACACTCTCCTTATTTGGTTTGGAATTCACATCAGTTCTCCTTGGATTTTAAGAGGATTTGTATTTGACAGGGTTCATTTACACTTAAGCAATATTTAAAGGAGATATAATGGAAGAGCCTAAAGATTGACGTTGTAACACAAGACCCTGTTATTATGAAGCTGGAATGAGACTGAACAGAACGTGCGGTGTAGAATCATCTTGTGGCAGCTCTTAAGTGGCGAGTTGTGCAATTACACATCTTTCTATTTTCAAGATGTCCAAGTGCATTTATTTCCTCATTAAATATCGATGTTTAGAAAGCCATGCCATGTGGAAGACTCTGGTAGTAAAACAGATCTTCCTTGCTGTTTAAAGATAGAAGAATATCAATGCTGCACTTTGTGGACACAAAGGGATTTTAAATAAAGCCTTGATAGTAATCCGGTGGTTGCAAAACAAGAGCTTCCAGGAGTCAATTCAAAGGCCCCTGAATAAAGTTGAATATAGTCTTTATTCAGAGTTTTTAATCCACCTGTACAGAGAGACCGTTTTTAATCTACTCTGCATCGTTTTGAAATCTGCCAGAAAGTTACCAGGCGTTAGGATGTTGGCCTGGCATTATCATCCGCTGCATTTATATCACGTTCTTTACATTGCTAAACTGGTTTTAGCTTCAGGAGTCCGTGATGAGCATAATATGCAGCTTGAAATGCCATTCATAGACAGAGAGCCTGCTAGCATCAAGCTCGTTGACATTCCCTTACAGTGTGTCATACTGATAGCAGTTAGCGGCTCATTGTCTGCTCAGATATACCTCTCTTGCCAAATGGAAAACCAGCCATTAGCATATGCTAAGCTAAGGAAAGGGACTCTCAATCACCCTGAGCTGACAGAGGTTTACAGAGGGGTAACAGAATTCACCAACGTGATGTAAAAACTGTGAAAAAGACAACAACTGTATCCACTGCTCATGATGACTCCCTTCAGTTGATATACATGTAGTAAATATGGCTGTCATTAACTTTAGTGAGACCGTCCCCTCAGTTAGAATCAGAGGTCGGCTGAGGTGTGTCAATGTGTGCTGATGGTTTCGCTTTTTTTCTACTTAATCAGAGTACCTTTTTCTGTGCTTGCTATTCGAAAGAATGGAACAGCTGCCAGGTTCAATGATTCTGTTTATATTTGGATTAAGTAGCAGTTTAGCTTTCATATATAGCAATGAATGGGACTCTGGATAATTAGGAATAAATGTTTACTAGAACTGTCGGAAATGTAACTTACATTTCAAATGTACTATTTTGGTGTTTAGTTACAAAGCCAGACATTCTTATAGTGCCATGGCTAGCATAGATAGCTTCACATTACACTGCTTAATATCAGAGCATTCGTTTTTTTTACAGTAAATCAACAGAAATATAACTCATATTCTGGATACTGCTTATTTATTTATTTGTGTATCCAGGCTTGTCATCCTCTCTGGTCCTGTCTCTGTGAAGGAGCTCTCAGTGTTTACTCATCTGTGTGAGTCACACTCCGCCTGTGGAAACAGTTGTTGTCCTCTGTGTCTCTGGACTTGTCAAATAACCCTGATGATGTCACAGTGATGTCATTGAGGTTATCTCAACTTGAAGACTAATAACTGAAACTGTTACAACCTGGAGATGATGATGTTTATCAGACAATAATGGTCCAACCGAGTTTCCTGATAAATAAAGTTTCCGTAACTGCTTTCACGATGACGTTTGGAGGGAAACTAGTTTCTTCCGGATTACTTTTGCTGTCTAAAATACATGGTTATCGCTGTAAACTAGTCTAGTTGCCAGTAATGTGGACCCAGAAATGTTGAAAACCCCATAGTCATATAAATGTCTAGTAGGGTCCCCAGCACATAGAAACTGCTGGATGCTAACAGGCACATGTTGGGCAATTTGCACAATTAGCACACGTTGCATAAATAAGCATATAGCTTATTTGGACAATAGTTTAAAAAATGGCGTGGTTTTGGGGTTATTGAGGATGCTGAATCCATTTCTGATATTTTCAGGATCAACCATGACCGGTTTTACTCGAAAATGTCCATATTTCTACTCGCCGATGGAATGATTTTGATACATTCTGGGGCGTTTTTTGAAGTTTTAGATGATTGAAAAAATTGAATTAAAAAAGAAAACATTGAAAAGTAGGACTTGGTTGGGTTAAGGAAATATCATTGTTCGGCTGAAAATAGCTGCGTTTGTTACGTTATTTTCTTTACAGAGCTAAATTAAAATAAGTTGAATTTCAAAAATAATGTTATCCTGGACTAAATGTGTTTCCCTTAAATGTAATTGACAATGCAGTTTTGTTGCTTTAAAACAACATTTTGAAGGGACCATACTTTAAACCCTCTTTCGTGTTGCAATATGGAAAATTAAGATTGACGCAAACGAATGACTAAAAGTTGGGATATTTAGCCTCTGATGCTTCAGTTTTGCCGACTATTTTTGAATCTGTCTCCTGGCCCCTCATTTGAATGCAAGCACAATACTAAATGGCCGGAGTCCCCTGTTAATTCAAAGAAAATACTTATTTAAAAAGCTTTGAAAAGCACACCAAGCCATTCCCCCTGTACCTGCTACACGTTCTGACCAGAGTTCTGAAGTGAAAGAAGAAGACATTCCAAACCCATATTTCATATTCCACAGCTGAAGCACCTGGGTTCAACAGGGACAAAGAAATCATCTTTTGAGCAAAGCTGGTTTCTTTGGAGCCACATGTTTTTTATCTGTAATAATGCCATTTATACTCCTGCTACTTGTGCCAACATTTATTGTGACAGCCTCTTATATAACTGCCATCCATTTCTCCAGAGCTTCACTCTGGAAACGTTCACAGGGTTTACTCACTATGAGGATGGTGATATGTGTTGTTGATGAAAGTAATTCAGTATTTATTTTTCTTCTTTTGTAAAGATTAGCTGTGAGTGTGTGCGTGTGCGTGTGCGTGTGTGTGTGTGCGTGCGTGTGTGTGGGGAAGGGTTGTCATTTTGTACAGGATCTAATTACCTCTGTGTTTAAATGATGATGACAGCGAGCCATATTCAATGTGAAATACCCTTGTTATCAAGAGGAAAGGGCCATACTGATGCTGAATGAGCTTTTTTTGTTTTTCTTTTACCATTTACTGAATCATTTCTTTAGTGTTCCAGTAGCAAGCTTACTGTCTGTGTGTCTGAGAGGAGCAGTAGAGCAGGAACAACATCACTCAAATGTGAACTAGGGGAAACGGGAAGATTAGCACATTGGTAATCTTTAGTGTAAATGAGGCTCCGGAAGCTTCTCAAATAAAGGCCTGGATAATTATTCAGACAGGATGACTCACATTAGAACAGAAGCAGTGGGAGAT